GTTTGGGCTCCTGGGCCAGGGTCCTGCCCATGACATACCTTGGCACAGAGCTGGCTGCCGCGGTTCACAGAGCCATGGCTGTCCCTGTCCTCTGGTAGGGAAGCACCTGGCAGAGCCAGGGCAGGACAGTAGCATCCTGAATGCTGTGTGTGGGCGATAGGAGCCAAAGCATATTCTGGGAAGCGATGGTGAGTGCGTGGGCTGAGCCAGGCACAGCTGCAGGCCCTGCAGCCGGCAGGTTCTGTGCCTCCCCAGCTGCTCCTGCTGGCTGCAGGCAGATCTAGGCAGAACAGGAGCTGAGCAGTGTCCCACGGGGGTCACGGTGTCACCCCTGGGTAAAGCCCGGCACCTTGCCCTGCTCTGCACTGTTCTCTCCATGAGTGCTGTCCTTGGAGGGCTTTCTGGGCTCCCACCCTCTGCAGTTTCCCTGCTGCTGGCTGCCGTGGTGCAGCTTGGCTGCAGGAATCCGCACGTCCGCAGCCCCCCCGGCCCCATCCCACTCACACCAGTGCTCAGGAAATGCTGCACTCTACAGATTTTACAAGCCAAAGGGACTGATAAGGGCAATTAGAAGATCAGCCATCTGAGCAGAGTGATGAACCTCAAAGGCAAGTGCTGCTGGCAGCACCGGCACAGGTGCAGCAGCACAGATCACAGCAGGACATGGAGCTGATCCCGGAGCTGGGGGGTGGGCAGCACTGCCCCACTGCCAGGTGCCAGCCCTGCTGCAGCGTTAGGTCAGGATGGATTTTGTCCCTGTGCAGCACACAGTGGGGACACATTGTCACTCAGCCCAGCACCGTGCACTCAGCCCAGCCTGATGTTCAGCCCAGCCAGCTGCTGCAGCAGCATGTCCTGGTGCAACAAGGCTGCCTTTATGCAGGAGCTCCTTTATTTGCCCCGGGGCCAGGAGCACCAGCTTGGAGCAGTTTCCCACAGTTCCTGGCACACAGCAGGCACTGCAGGGTGTGGGGTGATCCCAATGCTATCCTGATGCTGTCCCGATGCTATCCCAATGCTATCCCAATGCTATCCCAGTGCTATCCCCATTGCTGCCCCATTCCCACCATGCTGCACAGCAATGAAATGCAGTGAGTGTCCCGCGGGTGTCAGCGCCGGCTCCTGTTACTGCATAAACACACGCGCTGGGGAGGGGACCGCGGCAAATGCAAACAGTTACTGATTTACTGTTGCTCCGTGCCTCACTGCGTTGTTGACTGTGGGCTTAAATTACCTGGAAATAGATGCTGGCCGAGCAGACAAACAGCTCGTGACCTCAGAGCGGGGACTGCCTGCCCTGAACCCATGCAGCCCCAAGCCCACACGGCTCCAGGATGCTGCAGCCCAAAGCTGTGAGGGCTGCGGATGCAGTGATGGGGACTCAGCGATGAAGGAGGGCCCCAATTCCACCCTCACACTGCAGAGGAAAGGCTCAGCCTGGGCATACATCCAGGATAGGGCTGGGGCCAGAGATGCTCTGGATTCTGCCCAGTAGAGAAGATCCAGCCCCAGCCCTGCAGCTGGGCAGCACCATCACCGTACAGAGCACTGGATCCCACTCAGTGATCAAATGCACTGAGCCAAACCTGGAGCAGTGAGTGAAGGGCTGAGGCCCCTCAGGTCCCTCAGCACGGTGCTGAGCCGCTCTGCTTCCGTCAGCAAACCCAAAGGAATGAAAACCACTGCTGGTAGCACCTGCAGATGAGCAAGAACTGGTGGAGCGGCAAACAGTGATGAGAGCCAGCAGCCACGTGGGGTGATTAGGATTGCTTGGTCTGCTCAAATACAGCCCGGTTTGGCGCTGCTCAGCACTGCCAGGCACCCAATGCACAGGCTGCAGGACTGCCTGGTACCATGGAGCAGAGGGCACACAGCCAGAGCACACAGCAGCTCACTGCCTGCCTGCCACCGACCTGAGCACCACCACATCCCCAGGCAGCTCACCAGGGCAGGGGCTGCGCTCACATGCGCGATGGCTGCCAGCCCAGGGACCGGACAGATCTGAGCACAGTTGTCACGTGCGCCTCATGAACTGCTGGCCCCAACCCTGAGTTGACCATTGGAGGGCCTGCCGTGGCTCTGTGCCCCACGGGCTGTGGGCTGGGGGCTCCTGGCATGCCGAGCATGGCGATGCAGCGCGCGGTGCTTGGCTGCTGTTCCTGCCGGGCAAGTTTTCTGTGTAGACGCCTGGGCTCCTCGAGGCTCCCACTTCCTGGTCAGCTGCCAGCAGCGAGCAGATACCTGATACTTGGGGATTGTGCAATGGCACGAAGGGGGAGCCTGGCCCAGCCAGTTCCTTATGAGCCACCCGGAAGGCAGTCCCCTCCCGCCCCACCTGGAGAGGAGCTTAAAGCCCAGCCGGGTGGCCCCGCACACGCACAGCTCCCCTGCACCATGCCCAAGGCCAGCAGCGCGCTCCTCCTCGCGGGGCTCCTGGTTCTCTGGGCAGAGCTGCTGCCAGCATCCGTCCTGAATGTCACGAGTGAGTATGAGCGCACGGCCCCGCGGCAGCAGCCGGCATCACTCCTGGCCTGGGGCCTGCTGGGGATGGGCTCCAGGCACACGTTCTGCAGCGTGGCTGCGCTCTGCAGCATCCCTGAGCCCACGCCGGGACTGGGAACAGCATCGCCTGCCTCCAGACAGCCCTCCCACCCATACCGTGTGCCTTTGCCTTTCAGTAAAAGCCGGCGTGTGCCCGGAGCCAGCAGCAGAAGAAGCGAACTGCACGATGGGGTGCCAGTCCGATGGCGACTGCGAGAGCACCCTCAAGTGCTGCCCGGCGGCCTGTGGCAAGGCCTGCCAGGAGCCCAACGGTAACGCTCCCAGGGTCGGTGCAAGTCTTGCTCCCATGAGCCAATGCCTCCGGGGCTCCCAGCGCTCGGTAGCGGTGTGGTCCTGGGCATCCTCTGTGTTCTGCCTGCAGCACAGTCATGGGGCTCTGCACGGAGCCCCACAGGATTGGGCTATGCTTCAATGGAGCAGTTGCCCACACAGCCTTGGGTGGTGCTGGCCACACTCACCTCTTCCTCCTGCCTGCAGCTTGGTTGGCTCTGAGCATCCCTGGTGCTGCTGAGATCGCTGCCGGGGGCAGAGAGCACACACCCACTGCACTTCACATTCTTTGGGACGTACCAGCTGCACAATGCATCAGCCCCGGTACTGTCCTGCATCCAGCAATGAGCTCAAGAAGGGTCTCCGAGCAGTGCCCTCTCCGGCTCTGCACCAGGCATGGCCCCACAGCCGCTCTGCTGCAGGGTGCTCACCACACTCAGCTTCAGGAGCTGCAACACAGCCCTGCACACCTTGCTGGGGACAGCGGGTCTCACGCCATGTCCTTCGCCTTGCAGAGAAACCTGGCACCTGCCCGTCCGTGAAGCCAGGGATCCCCATGCTGGGGCTCTGCATTAACCAGTGCAAGATGGACTCCAACTGCTCTGGGAGCCTGAAGTGCTGCAGGAATGGCTGCGGGAAGGTCTCCTGTGTGACTCCACTGTACTGAGGTCAGTCAGCACCCACCCAGCCCCGGGCTCCTGTCCCACTTGCCCCATCCTGCTCACAGCCCTCTGCTCCCTTTGCAGGTGCAGCCTCCTTCATCCCAGCTGTAGGGAAGCTGCTGCCCAATGTGAAGCTGCATGGCCAGGCCCTGGTGCCCTCCTGCCCCGGCTTTGTCTGGGACCCCAGCATGGAGCCTTCAGCCTCAACTCCCATCCGAGGGCCCCGCTCGGGGTGTGCCACAGCCCCCTGCACTCTCGCCAATAAAGCAGCCACTCCCTGCCCTGTTTTTGGCCGCGTCTCCATCCTGATGCGCTTCCAGCTACACTCTGCAGTGCACTCAGTGTGCCCAAATGGCTGCTGGAGCAGGCAGTGTCTAGAAGGGTCTGCACCAGACAAATGCCCACCCCAAGCCAGCACCGTTCCTGCAGTGCTGATCCCAGGCCCCATTTCCCCAAGGCTCCCCAGCCCATGCTCCTGCTCAGTGCTGTCCCACAGTCTCAGCTGCTCTGACGTTTGCTCCTCAGCCAGTTAAGGGATGTGCTCCAACTGGGGCCTGATATGCAGTTGCAGCTGCATCCATGGAGATGAGTTCTGTGATGGCCTAGGGGGACAACAATGCTGCTGCTGCTGCGTGCAATGGCAGAGCATTTCTCCAAGCACCCCCTGCACTACACACTCCCAGCCCACCAGCAGCACAGCGCCCATGGCAGCTGCTTGAGGGAGCCATGGGCAACAAAGCCTGCATGTCCCTGCCCCATCCCTGCCCACCCTGCTCGGACCCAGCCCTTGCTCTTGCTGCTCTTCCAATCCTCCCAGGAGCCTCACAGCTCCCAGAGGTAATGTGAGCTGAGGAACCCCAAGGGCCAGAGCAAACGGTCCCTTGGACCTCTGAATGCACTGCTGGGGGATTACATAGAGCACAGCTAAGCCAGGCACACACAACCACCCTGCAGCCTGCCCCATACAGCCTGGTGCCTGCAGCATGGATGCGTCCCCACTCACATCCCACCAAGGCTCTGCAGCATCACTCCCCACTCCATGCATGCTAGGAGGTGATGCTGATGATTCCCGGGCAGAATGGGGTGGGCTCTGGGAAGCAGTGATGGGATGCACAGGCTCACCAGGCTCTCCCAGGTGCCCACATTGGGGAGCACAGGGAGCAGGGTTGGGGAGCACCTCCCACATCCCCTGGCCTGGCTGTTTGCGGGTCACTGGTGACCTGGAAAGGGAGCGCTGCAGGGGATGCGCCAGCCACGGGCTGAGAGCCCAGCACTGCTCTGGGAGTCTCCCTCGAAACGAATTGTTCATGCTCAGTGCTCCCACAGCCCTGGAAACACGCGCTGCCATGGGCTGGTGCCCCCCAGCAGACTTAAATACCGACTGGCAGTCGCAGTGCCACAGCAGCCCCAACAGCACGATGCCCAGCACCTGTGCCCTCGTGCTGCTGCTCCTGGCCCTGCCTCTGCCGCCTGCCCCAGCCCAGCAGCACCGTGGGGATCGCGGCGATGGCCCCGCTGCCAGCCCCCCACCACGCCGGGCACACAGGGGCCAGCGGCCACCAGCCGCCCTCCCTGCCCCCAGCAAAGCAGGCGTGTGCCCGGCAGTGGGGAGCAGCCCCACGCGCCCCACCAGGAGGTACTGCTTGTCTGATCACAGCTGCCCCGGCGCTGAGAAGTGCTGCCTTCTCCGGGATGTGCGCGCCTGCCTGCTCCCTACTGCAGGTACGGGGAGCTGTGGAGCTGCTGGTGCTGGACAGGGGATGGGTGCCACGGGGCGAGCCGTGCTCCCCAGCACACAGCACTGCTTCCCTCACAGAGAGCCTGGGCAGCCCTGTGGGGGTGAGCTGTGGGGTGAGCTGCTGCAATGAGACTGCGTGTGGCCATGGGGAGAGGTGCTGCGCCCGCTGCATGAGAGTTGAGCCAGGTAAGATTGTCCGAGTCGGGGGGCTGTGCTTGTGCTGGGCTAGAGGTGCAGTAGGGCAGAGCCACGGGTTGGCAATTTCGTCACTGTGAGAGCAGTGCATCACTGCTGCAGGGGCAGGCTGGCTCTGAGCTGCACCCTGAGCCCCCTGTCCTCTCCAGCCAAATCCGGCCTTTGCCCACGGAAGCGAGCCCGGCGTGATGCTGCCTGCCCCAACCTGTGCACCGATGACAGGGACTGCCCCGGGGACCAGAAGTGCTGTTTCTCTGGCTGCGGGCTGACCTGCACTACCCCGTACACAGGTACCTGCTGCCCCCATCCCCACTCCTCTCCAGGCGTGCATCCTCCATGGGTGTGCACACCCCATGCACACCTGTGCACTCCCCATGCATGCCACAGGCGCAGGATGGGGGCAGGATGGAGGCCAGAGTGGAGCTGGGGCAGGGGCACGCTGCAACCCTAAGCCATGCACAAGGCACAAGTTCCCAATGCAGCCAAGCTCCCATGGGCACAGTGGGGCTGTGATGCTCAGGGCTGTGATGCTCAGGGCTGCTCTCTTGCAGCGAAGTCCGGTGCGTGCCCCGTGGTGCTGCGAGGCTCCCTGGGCCCCTGCCTGGATCGGTGTGACAGCGATGCTGACTGTCCTGGGGCCAAGAAGTGCTGCACCACTGGCTGTGGCCACGTCTGCAAACTGCCCACCGAAGGTAAAAGCTTTGAGCCATGGGGCAGAGAGCGTGCCACGTTCCCCCATCCCCTCCCTGGCTGAGTACCCTCCCTGCAGGGCCAGTGCCCGTTTGCCCAGGAGCACTGTGCCCCTTTGGGGGCCGGTGGGGGCTTGGGGAAGTGGCAGCAGCCAAGGCCAGGGGCTCACCACACCATTCCCTCTCTCTGCACGTGCACAGTGCGCCCAGGGCTCTGTCCTGCCACAAGCACCAGGGCTGGTGAGTGCCTCGTCCTATGCCTGGAGGACAAGGACTGTCCACCCAGCCAGAAGTGCTGCCTGCAGGACTGCGGTCGCACATGCGTTCCCCCACTGCAGGGTAAGACGAACCCCACACCCTGCCTGCAAGGGACAACACAGGATGGAGCACTCGTCCTGCTCTGACCACCACATCCATCTCTTCCAGGCACAGCCTAGCCCTGGCTGTGGGGGTGGCTCTGGGAGTTGCCATTTTAGGGCCATTCCACCCCACTGCCATTGCAGCACCCACTGCCCCACTGCTCTCATCCCTCTGGCAGCATCTCTGGCTGGGGCAATAAGCAATGTTTGACTCTGGCTGAAGTCTCTGCCACCTCCCACAGCTGTGCTGCAGGGACAAAGGCAAACCCCCACATCCAGCTCCTCTGCACGAGCCAGCCTGTGCATGGCATGGACACCCCCAGTCTACCTGGAAACGTGGACCCAGAATAAACCAGCATGTGGCAGCCGGGCTGCAGTGAGTGCTTTCTGTTGCCTGCAGTGTGCTGGGAGTTTTCCATGGTGCAGGCACTGTGGGTGGACACGTGGCTGCAGGCAGCCCCGGGGCAGGGAGAGGAGGCCCTGTTTCCATGCTGTGCCCCCCAGGCACCAGCACCACACTGTCAGGGTCCTGGGGAAACACTGCTGCTGTCCCAACAGGAGTGCCAGAAACCTGTTGACTCAGATTCCTTGCACCAAGAAAAGGTTTATTTGCATCCCAAAGTGTGAAACTCAGGTTGGAAGCACAGTCAGGGGCAGATGGAGCACACCCTGGGGACAGGGAGAGGAGCAGCGCCTTCGTGCTGGGAGCCATGCAGCTCCACTCCTTCCTATCCTGATTGAACCCGTTACTGTGCTCCATCCTGGGGGCTGTCCAGGCTCTGCTGTGCAGTACTGCAGGGATGGTGCCTGTGTGACCTTCGCTGCCCTGTCCCTGTCCCTGCCCCATCCCCATGGGTCATCCTGACCCAAAAGCGCAGTGAGGTCAGAGATAAGCAGCCGGCTGGCAGGGCGCCTGCGGTTCTGGGAACGATCCCTCCTCCTGTTCTCTGCCCGCTCCCCACCATTTGTGCTGCAGCACCCCTGGCAGCTCCCAGTACTGCCTCAGCTGTGGGCACGCAGCATCCCCGCAGCACCATGTGCCTGGGACTTTGCCTCCTCCTGGGGCTGCTCCTCGGGATGGAGCAGAGCACTGCACTGGGGGAGGAAGATGGTGAGTACCAGCAGGGGGGTCTGAGCCAGCTCTGTCCAGGAGCACCCTGTGTGCATCTCCTGCCCCGGGATCCCTCGGTGCTGGCACTTCTGAACTGGGACATTGCTATCCTCTGCTGCTCTCACAGGGCCCAGCACCAGGGATGCTGGGTAGGGCCAGGGGCTGCGCGGGGGCTGTGCAGGGCAGCAGTTGGGTGCTGTGCACACAGTGCTGCTGTGGGGTCTCAGGGCTGACAGCTGCTCTCAGCCTCTCCCTTGCAGCCCTGGATCAGTTTCCTCCTCAGACCATACCTCCCTTCCTCAGCCCTGCATGTAGCACCTGACTCATGCAGATCCATCCAGATGAGTGCTGCCCAGAGAGGTGCTGGATTCTCCTTCTCTTGGAGATATCCAAGATATCCAAGACCTGTCTGGACACCTATCAGTGTGACCTCCTATAGGGAACTTGTTTTAACAGTGGGTTGGGCTCGATGACCTCTGGAGTTCCCCTCCAACCCCTACAATTCTGTGATTCTGTGATCCTCTGATCCAACCCCATGACCCAATGGGTAGCACAGTGGGCACACACCATCGAGTGCCCCGTCCCACCCTGCGTGGGACAAAGCTGCACCGGAGCAGCCCAGCTCTGCACTACTGCCGCCTCCGCAGCGATGGGAGCTTTCCTTTGTTTGAGTGGAACAGCTGCTGTTTGCAGTAAAACCTTCCCAGCAGTGTCTCTGTTTGCAACTCAAACAGCACAGCGCTGCCAAGAGCTCTGACGAGGGGTGTTTGCAGAAGGGGTGCTCCCATGGCATCCCTTGGCTCAGCACAGGAACAGCAGCCTCAGCTGTGGGCCAGGGGGATTCCCAGCTGCAAGGAGAGCGCAGTGCCCCGAGCTCCCCACTCAGATGTTCCTACTCCCCAGCTCACGCCGGCATTTGCCCCCAACCCTCATCTCAGCCCCAGCGCATGCCGTGTCCCAATGCCTGTGATGACGACAGAGGGTGCCTGCAGGACCAGAAGTGCTGCTTCACTGCCTGCGGCTTCATCTGTGTGACACCGCTGGGGAATGGCAGCAGTGACCTCCCTCCTCCTGGAGAGATGGACTGGAGCCTCAGCCAGGCTGAGAACATGCACCAGGGTGATGCAAAGAGGATGAGCTTCATGCCAGGGGGCTGCACCGGGAGGGGAGAGGCCGTAGGGCAGGGGTGCACGTAGCATTGGGGTGCACGTGGCAGGGAGGGGTGCAGTGGGTTGCAGAGGCTGCAGCCATCCCCTCCACAGGCAGGGTGATGCTGGGTGCTGCCCTGACTCCACATCCCGCTACAGGGGAGCTGCAAAAACCAGGTCTGTGTCCCCGGGACTTCACACGCTGCCTCCACCAGGAGCCCCCTCTCTGCACCAATGACTCAGCATGTCCCGGTTGGCTCAAGTGCTGTTCCCACGAGTGCCGCCTCCGCTGCACACCCCCGGCAGAAGGTATGGCACCACTGGCACAGCCTCAGCACCACCACCAGCACCCCTTGTCCACCAGCCCCATCCCTGTCCTTGTCCTGTCCCCATTACCCAGAGCAGCTCCAGCACCACTTGTGGCCCCCATCTCCCAAGGCTGGGATGGGGTAGGTGAGGGCATCTGGGATGGGGTGTGGGAGGTCTGAGACACAGCAGGGGGAGCTGTGGGATGTGACACAGGGCCACAAGGGCAGATTTACCGGTGCTGCCACTGGTGCCCTCGGGGCGCACCTCACCCCCAGCCATGCCACTCGGTGTTGCAGAGAAGCCCGGTGCCTGCCCCGCTGCGGCCCCAGAGGGGCTCTTTTACCCCTGCTCCTTTCGGTGTCAGGAGGACAAAGACTGCCTGGGCAGCCAGAAGTGCTGCCCGCTGGGCTGCGGCGCAGCCTGCGTGGAGCCGGCGCAGGGTAAGGCCTCCGTGTGCCACTGGAGCCACGTGCACGGCGACAGCCACGGCTCCGCGGGGCGCTCAGGGCTGTGCTGCAGACATCTGCCATCTCCCCGCCATGCCGGGGCCCTGCGGCGGCCACGAGCTGAGCTTCTTCTACAATGTCACCTCCGGGCGCTGCGAGACGTTCCCCTACAGCGGCTGCGGGGGCAACGCCAACCGCTTCGGGACGCGGGCAGCGTGCCGCCGGGCGTGCCTGAGCCACGGTGAGGGCACGGAGCTCCGGGTGTCGGGGGCAATGCGATGTCCCCCGTTCTCTAGCGGTGCTCAGGGCTGCTTTTGATCGCTCTGCTCCACCAGAGAAACCCAAAACCAGGGAGTGTCCCGTGGCGCTGCCGGAGCTGGAGGGGCCGTGCCGGGAGGAGTGCGATGGTGACAGCGACTGCCCCAACGCGCTGAAGTGCTGCAACAGCAGCTGCGGCCTCCAGTGCCTGCCTGCAGCGCCAGCCCGTGAGACGGGGTGGGACGGGGTGGGACGTGGATTACAGGCGGGGCCACGGCCTGGGGACAAGGGGTGCCCACAGCACCCACCACAGGCAGAGAGGGGCTGGGTTGGGAGCAGTGCACACAGCAGCAGGGATGTGGTGGGGACACTGAAGACACCCTGCAGTTGGTCCATCCCACTCTCACCTCCAACCCAGTGACCCCACCATCCAAGCTCTGCTCTGCAGTTCAGCTCTGCCAGCCCTGCCCCTGCCAGCTGGAGCCACACCAACAGCAGAGCTGCCAGCCTGGGCGCAGCGAGTGCAGCTGGGAGCAAGGGGATGATGGATGGGGGATCACCTTGCAGGATAGAGGGCCCCAACACGGAGGGATGCAGTGATGGATCAGGCAATGCACCCTGCCCATGTGCGCTGGGCTGTGTCCCCATGGGGCTGCTGCACTGCAGTGGGACCCACTTCATCCCACACCATGACCTGCAGGGAAGGATGGATTCTGCCCGGCCAGTGCTGGGCTGTTCCCCAGCTACGACTGCAGAGAGTGGTGCCGGCGTGACTCTGACTGCCCCGGTGAGGAGAAGTGTTGCCTGCGGGGCTGTGACTACGTGTGCCTGCACCCGGCCCAAGGTTGGAGCCACTGAACAGCCCCCCCAGGGCATCTGTGGTGATGCCCAACCATCCCCAGCTGCACATCTCCTGCCTTCCAGAGAAACCAGGGATCTGCCCCCTGAGCGAGCAGGCAGCAGGATCCCAGTGCCACGACCCCTGTGCAGGAGACGGGCAGTGCCCAGGAGATGAGAAGTGCTGCAGCAGTCGATGCGGTCACGTCTGCATGGCCCCAGAGCCAGGTGAGGGGGCAGGATGGGGCTGTGCCTGCAGTGCCTCACACAGCCGGGCTCAGTGCCCAGCCTCTTGCAGCTTGTGGAAGGCACAGCCACAGCTGGGTGCACAGAAGGCACATAGGATGCTACCAGAGTGCCCCCAAGGTGCCAAGACTGCCATGCCTGCAGCTCAGTCCCTGCAGGCGAGCCTGTGGCCCTGCTACCCCTTCTCTCCCTTTTCTCAGACAAACCTGGGCAGTGCCCAAAGGTGAGGCTGCAGCTGACATCAGAGCCATGCACGGAGGAGGATGACTGCCTGCACGACCGGGACTGCCCCAGGCAGGAGAAGTGCTGCTTTTCTGGCTGCGCCATGCGCTGCTCCCGCCCAGCCAGAGGTCAGGGCAGGCAGTTGGGCCTCAGCTGCACGATGGGCAAGGAGCAGCAGTGGCAGCAGTGCTGGCAGTATGGGGGACCCCCCGCACTCAGCCGCAGCCCCTCCTCTCACAGAACACCCTGGGCAGTGTCCCCAGGCAGAGCCTTGCTGGGACCCCCGGCGCCGACGCAGGAACCAGTGCCTAGATGACAGCGTGTGCAGGAGGGATGAGAAGTGCTGCAACACAGGATGCACTTGGGGCTGCGTGGCTGTACCCAGAGGTAGTGGAGAGCAGCTGGGCAGAGGGGAGCAGCCACCTTCTCTGGGGACAGATGGTGACCGCAGGTGGCTGTGCCTGCAGAGAGCAGCAGTGGTGCCTCCAGCCAGTGTGCAGAGGAGTGTGAGACTGATGCACAGTGCCCCCAGGGACAGCGGTGCACCCACATGGGCTGCAGCCATGTCTGCGTGGACATCCCTGGGGGTGAGCACTATCTAAGTGCCCGGGAACCACAGGGTGCCCACGGCTGGGTGTCCCATGAATGGGTGCCTGTGGATGAGTGCCCACAGGTGGGAGTCCTGCAGCACACGCTCTGCCTTGCAGGGAGAGTGGGAGTGTGCCCCATCCCCAGGGATGCCGGGACATGCTTGGACCTGTGCAGCTTGGATGAGGAGTGTCCCTGGGGCCAGAAGTGCTGCAGCAATGGCTGTGGCCATGTCTGCATGCCTGCCTCTCTCAAAGGTGAGCCCCTGGGCTGGGATGTCAGCCAGCAGCAGGGACAGAGATGGGGTCTGCTGTTCTCTGAGCCCACAGTGGCACCGTGGCCGTCCTGCACCAATAGGGACCTCACAACAGAGCTGTGTGCTGGGGCTGCCAAGGCTGTGCCTGCTCTGGCCCTGTATCCACTCACCCCCTTGTCCACTGTGCCTTCCCCTCTTTCTACCCAAGTAACAAACATGCCCAGCCCCAGCTCAGCACCAGGTGAGTGTCCTCTCCTGCCACAGAGCACGATGTTGCCGTTGTGCCACAGCACGGTGCCAGCCGGTGCCCAGAGCAGTGTGATGCCGACTCGCAGTGCCCACGAGGACAGAGATGCACCCGCACCAGCTGTGGCCATGTCTGCACGGACATGCCTAGAGGTGAGAACCACGGTCCAGCCCTGTCCCCTGATGGCAGGGTACTCCATGGTGGGTGCCCACAGATGGGTGCCTCACAGAGCGTTCTGCCTTGCAGGAAGGGAGGGAGAGTGCCCCATCCCCAGGGGCAGCGGGACGTGCTTGGACCTGTGCAGCTCTGACAAGGAGTGTCCCCAGGGCCAGAAGTGCTGCAGCAATGGCTGTGGCCATGTCTGTACACAGATACCTGGCGGTGAGGAGACTGAGGGACAGGACCAGATTTAGGGGACACAAGGGAACTTCAGGCCCTCAGGGGAGGCAGAGCCTTCTGGAAAGGGGCTCAGTTCATCTGGTCCAGGCTCAGCTCCTGGCACAGACACTGACTTTAGGGTGAGGGCACCCAAAGGGATGAGGAGCAGAAGGGATCTCTCACCAGACCTGGCCATGCTAAACCAGCAGCACTTGTCCACAACCTTGGCCACTGCTCCTCATCCCCATCAGTCAGACCTCCCTAAAAGCACATTTCCCTTCCAGGCACTGCATGATGTGAGAACAGCAGCTCTGTGGCAGGAAGGTGCCTTCCTTCATCTGGGGACACAGGACATTGACAGCCCCGAGCTGGACTGTCCCCTTCTCGCCATCACCGGCAATAAAGCGAGTGCATGCCATCTCCAGCTGCCTCTGAGTCTCTGTGTTGCAGGGCCCAGCTCCCATATTGCCCAGGGAGGACACAGGTTGGGGTCCCCCTCACCAGCACCAAGCAGGGGGTCTGCGCAGCACACGTGGGGCTGCAGGGGTTCAGCAATGCAGGGTGAGCACAGACTTGAGGCTGGGGGTAGCTCTGGGACCCCCATCAAAGTGGGGATGTTTCACCATCGCTTTAGGACCTGGCCAGGTCACATCTGCAGCTTGAGGGCAGAACCGGGAGTGGAAACCAATTTAGATGTAAGCAGGAGCTGTGCTGGGATGGCTGGATCCGAGACCTGGGGCAGGAAGGACAGGAGCCAGACCTGCTCAATGACCCGTCCTTGTATTGACAGCAGCACGGCTCCTGGCAGGGCTGGGCTCCTCCAGGCAGGGCACAGCACAGAGGGGCAGCCGGGTTGTTGCTGGCACCTCAGCCCTGTGCCATGCTTCCCAGGCAAGCCACGGCCCCAGCACGGCCACCATGACCACCACCACCACCCAGCCATGGGGACAGGGATATCTGCCCAGGCTGGGGTTGTGCACGGCGGGGAGGTGTTACTGGGCACCCGGAGCTGAGAGATGTGGGGCTGGGAGCAGGGCTGCGGGGAGCATCTCCCCACGGGGCAGGGGGTGGGAGGAGCCCCGCTGGCGTGGCTGGGAGCGCAGGTGGGAGCAGGCCTGGGAGCACTCCCGCTCGGTCTCAAAGTTGTTCCTGTTCCCACCGCAGCCGCCGTAAATGAACTCCTCGCACTGCTGGCTGGACGCGTTGTAGAAGAAGCGGATGAAGAGCGCCTTGCAGTTCCCGCAGACCGAGGGCAGGTAGCAGAAGTCTGGGCAGTCCCAAGGGCTGAAGTGAGCCGAGGACAAGGCTCAAGGGGAGAGCGCTCCGGGTCCCCATGGCACCGAACCCCTCCCTGCCCAGAGCCAGGTCTGCACCCACCTCCCCAGGAAACCACATCCCTCATCCCTGGCGCAGGCAGAGCTCAGGGTTGGCATCTGTGAGCCCCCTCCCACTGCTCTAAGCTCACCCCCCCCTCACCGAGACCCCCACACACCACTGGCCCTCACCGAGCACCGGTTGCTGGCACGTGTGGCCGCACTTGCCAGGGCAGCACTTGGTGGCACCAGGACAGTCGGAGTCGCCAGCACAGTGGGAGCAGGAGGCGTTCTTGTGGCACGAGCTGCAGTCCTGGTCCAGAGGGCTCTCCACCTCCGAGATGTGGTGACAATACCCGGGCTTTGCTGAGGGACACAGCGACCAGGGCTGAGCAGCCTCATAGGTCAGACCTCACAGCCCCCAGCCCCGCAGCCCCACGGCTGCTTGTACCAACTGGGCTCCCTGAGCATCCCCTCCTCAGGAAGTGCCCCCACGCACTCACCTGTCCCCATCTGCTCCTCTCTTCCAGGCACGTGTGGGGCCGGGACTGACCGTGCAGAAATGGGGAGCAAGAGGAGGAGGAGGAGGAGGAGACAGGCTTGCTGCTCCATGGTGCCCACGGCTGCCGGCTCTGCGCCCCGGGTGTGGTGGGCTGGGATTTAAGGTGCGTCGGCAGGGCGGACGGTATGGGGCTGGCGCCGCAGCACTGCTAATTCCTGCCGTGCGGGTAACGAGCCGCACCCAGCGGGCCCGGCTTCCTCGGCGACATCTCGGCCACAGCCCTAAAGCCGGGGGGACTGGTAGGACGGGAAGGATGCCCTAGTGCAGCCCTCAGGGTGCTCAGCAGCATGCTGGGGCTGTGGTGGGATGGAGAGGGGAGGGGAGGGGTGGGGAGGGGAGGGGAGG